ATATATATACATATATATACATATCTCGGCTAATTTGGTCGCTACGTTGGCCACGAAAGAGGCGCGAATTAATCCTCGAAGGATTAAATCGATCGTGACGCGAATCGGAAAACGCCGACAGAGAATCGCGGTACTTAAAAGTATATTAATACAATAAAATTCAGAATACTACAGATTATACGCTTGTAATAAGAATAATAGATTGCATAACGATAAAACGATAAAACGGTAATATGATAAATAAATCATTTACTTTAAAAGTCGTTTGTTTCATAATTTCATTTTTAAAAGGTGAGTGGATTACGAGAAAATAAAATATTAAAAATGAAACTGTCAATACGTACTATTTTCTTTTATTTAAGGATTTATTATTCACATTAATATTAAAATGATTTTTAACGAAGCACAAATCCTGCTTTCATCTTTAAAATTTTATAGATACTACAGATATATGGAAATGGAGAGGCGATAATTTCATTGAACGTTATTTGTGACATATTTGGCACGATCGCTGCGAAAAAGCAAAAGTTAATTCGATCCGAGTTGAATATTTATGATGCGAACGTACATATTCGGATTATCGTCTGCTCCATATAAACGTGTTCTATGATTGATCGTCGTGCGCAAAAATCACGGACGAAAGAACCGACACGAAAAATAGCGAATGCCAGACTCGAAAAGGCAGTCGATTTCATTACAAGAGCGAGCGATGATTTCGATACGTGGCTCTCCATAGACGCCATTGTCGACGGCTGATTGTGCCGGATTGTTAATCGAGCATTTTTGAAAAACTGTCCGATCCATTCCTCGCGCGAGACCATCCGGATTTCGATCGTGCAAACATCCAACAGAGGGAATTTGTCGAGAGCGATCCAAGTTCGTTAGCTCAATGAACTCCGACCGTTCTGTGACAATGTCCCTAGATATTCAATAAAGCTGAGCCGACGACTCGACCGATGTGTTAGCTTGAAATTTTGCTTTCTCGCGCGAGATAGAGATGCCTTTGATTCCTTCCCGTTTTTCTGTGCGGAGGAAAAGTGAACCGAGAAGAAAATTTCCATTAAATTAGCCTCCCCACCAGCGTTAAATTAATTATAAATGGTCTTAAGATTAAGTTCTAATTAAGTGCTGAAGCCCGGAATTAAGTATTCAAATTGTTTGACAGAAGATCAAATTAATATTAAATTTATTCAATGTACAAAAAATATACAAATAATTCCAATAAAAAATGAAGACATAATAATCAGGTGTTAATTAGATGCTTTAAGAAACTAGATAAGACAATATAAAATTTTTGATACTATTTTATTCTTGCAAGATGATTCGACGTTTAAGTAGAAAATTCTACCAAATGTTATCCAATTCGAGAATAATATATCTAAATATAATATTAATAGACGAACATTTGTTGACATTAATAAATGTTGACCATCTAAATTTCGACATTACTTCATCTTACGATTTCTTGACGCGATACAATATGATATAATTGAATTAACAACAATTATACTTAATTAACAAACCGAGCCTTAGATTTATAAACCAAAACAATAGCAAAATTTTTCTTAGAGGTATGCGAAGCTTCTAAAGCTGAAACAGAGATATCGTAGAATAAAATTGTATTTGCGAGGGTCCTAATCCTCGAGATAAATTTATTTGTCTACGAGATTTCCACTTAAATTTTGTCTCGGAGCGTTGCGAGATTGCGATTAGCGACAAGCGACTTAGTCGGGGAACGAGCGGTTGGTTTTTCTCCGGCATCGATTTAGTTAAGAGTACGAGTATACTTTCTAGAGCTGATTTAGCGAAGCATGAAGCGGCGCGGCGAAAAGAAAAAGAGAGAAGCCCGACGAGAGACACGCAGAGGACGTCGCAGAGGGGTATCGATCGAGAAAGTGTCACGTGCACGACGCGAGGAGAGGAGACTGCATTCGGGGGGGGGGGGGGGGAGGCCGAGGAAATATTCGCGCGACTAAACGTGCACGCCGAATGCACATGTATGCGTCTGTGCGCGTGCGAAGGGGACTCCAATGGGATAAATGGATACCAACGGGAACAAGTGTGCGCGCACTCGGGGACACAAATAGAGTCGTTCTTAACTTGGCTCGATTACACCATGCGGGTCACGGGGAAATTACCGAGTCGCTTACATGCACGAGACCGGGAAGGCGATTAAACTTTCCGTCGGATATTTCTTGCCGTCACGAATAATAAGCAGCTTTGAATTAATAAGATGGAAGGAGAGCGCTTGCGAAAATGGACGCTATCCAATCGTACCTCGGACTATTATTTTAATAAAAAAGAGATCGATGTACGATTTCCATTATTTCGACGAACACGATGTGTCCCGAAAGTTCCTGAGATTGCAAATAATTTGCATATAGCAAGGATATTAACAGAAGCGTTCAAACAATTTTAAAGAATATTAAAATATTCGGTATATATAAGTTAGTGTCTCCTCTCTTGTTTTTTAGGTGTCTGTTGCGATAAAAATGATCAGATTTGCGCGCGGCTTTTTTTAGAGCTGGGAACGGAAGGTGAAATACGACGTGCAGTTTCTTACCATTCATCCGCAATTAAGCGGTTGCGGCGAACAGTGATTACTGCCGGTGTGTTTAATTTGCATGACAATGCAGCCGTTTGTCCATCGGCATGAATGTTTCTTCACGTTGTGCGCGCCCGAGACGATCGAGAAAGTATCGCGCTTCGGGGAATAAGCTCTTTAATCGAAATATATCTTAGAAAAATCAAGATTCGCTTATGTAATGCCTTGCGAATTGTTGATTTATTACTTGGCTTATATACTTGATTTACATGAGCTTTTGCAACGTTTTATATTATAACGCGTGACCCTTCTCTGCGTAACATATGTATCGATATCGGTGTTTCTTATTCTTGCGCATGTGCGAAAAAAATATTTCTCGACGCCTACGATTTATACGCGCTATCATATCTTGCGGGGAAAAGCTGTCTCGATTAAAAAGAAATAAACGACCGCGTTCTCAGATTTTCTTCGCGCGCGTAAGATCCCGCTGCGCATTACTTATGTTAATACATTCGGAAATATTCCGCAATGACCCTAAGTATATCATGGCGCGTGAGGCATTAGCATCGTGCCTTGACAAGTCGTGCAACGTATGTCAGATAACGTACGTACGAGAAGGAAAATCGTCCGACCGACCTTTAAACGTCTATTTAAAGCACTCTCCGCTCCATACTTGCTATTTTGATTGTGTTACATGTTGCGAGTTGAAATACGGAAAGGCTGATAATGGGAATTTATACGCAATATTTCGCGGAGAAAGGCTATTACAATGTAAAAAAATGGGATATAAAGTAGAAATACATTTTCTCAGAAGATAATATCTCTTTAAAAAACGTTGACATTTTGTAATTACTTTATAATTTTACAATATATTAATATTATTCTTTTTTTATATTTATTTAATTATTTAAATTTTAAATATAATATTTGAAAGATATTTATTGAAAGTAACACATTATCTTCTAAGAATTAGTAAATAGTTTTTTTGATACAAGTTATTAAAATTATATAGTTTATATTTTATTTTCTTTATAAATTACATCGATGGAAATTTGTAAATTTAAACAATTATAACATTTATAAAAAGAGAGTTTCACACACACACACACAATTATATTATATCTTTAGATAGATAAAAATCTATAAATATACATTCAATTGCGACATTAATTTATCACAATCATTTTTATTAAAGTAAAATTCCACATTTTTTAGATAAAATCCATGCCAGTGGTAAAGATCATTATTTAGAAAAAAATCGGCACAAGCTAATTTTCTTTATTGAAAATTAGTCTTTTTGTTACAAGAATAATTGAATAGCAAATATGTTAACGCGAAGATACATATTGTAAAAATTTGTATTTCTGTTATTATGTATATATTGTTATCGTTAAATTAAAAATTAATACTCATGATTCTGTGCAAAAATAGGGCGAGAGAATAAAGAGGACTATTAATGGAGGAAACGATTAGTCTAAATGGAATATCAATCTTATAGATCTTTGGCAGATCATAAGCTCTTGATAAAGTGCCGTTTGTGAACCTAAAAATTAATCAAATTTAGTGACATTTATATTTCCAAAATTCAAGTTTTAAAAATATATTTCATATATTTGAATTAAGAAAGATTCTATTATTATATTAATTTCGTTTTATAAACTATATTTATTTGTTATAATTTATTATTCAAAGCACAGAATTTTTTTGCTTAAAGTTATATAAATATAGTTTACTAATCATATTAAATATTTTTATAGTTTTTTACCAGTTTATTCCAGTAAAATCGAAGATAATAAAAATCGGAATTTCCCATCGGTCTTTTCTATTCATTGGACTTTTCCAACTCTTGCTCTTACCTATAAATGGCAGCAATTGTTACAAAATCGTAGTGTCTGGTTCGTTCTTACACATAACGTCGGCATCACCGGAAACGCGACTAAACAGGTGTTTGCGCCAGCTGCAATCGCCCTCGCTATGCTTCGTCACGAATCCCTTCTCTGTCCTATCTTCGTTTTCGCCTTGTCTTGACTCTTCGTTTCTCGTCTGCGTCAATGCTTTCTAAAAGGTCGATAGTTATTCTCGGCGCTGCGTCACATAAGCAACAAAATTCCTCCGTGAATTTGCTTTTGAAAGATAAAAGCGTTCTCCGTTTGTCGATATTCGCCTAATAATTAGTAGGATAATTATGATTAATAATAATGAACGATATTATGGATTCATAAAATATTGAAGATTTGACGAGGCGAAAAAATCTACTACATCACTCACCATTTACAGACAAATTACTGCTATGTAAACTTTTAAGAATGTGTTATGTAAAATCAATTATAGGAGAGTGAAAATTTCCAAAAAGAAATTCTACCTTATATTTTGTAATTTGTCATTATTATAATAGGGTGTTGGAGCATTTTACGTAAATTGGAACTAACATTGGATGGTAATTTTGGTTTTGCAGCGTGGAACGAGACCGGCTTCGGGAGCGAGAGCGACAGGCACGCGCGGCGATGTCGGTCCAGGCGGAGCAAGCGGCTGCGGGAGGCGGTCCTGATACGAGACACCATCATCACCACCACCATAACCATGTGCATCATCATCACCCCAACATACACGTCTCTACACCGAACCTCTTCCGCGGTGGTCCCGTCAGAGTGAGTACATTTTCCATTTATTTCTCGTCTGCGACCGGCGAGACCGTTTTTCCACCACGCGTGATTTCGCATGTACTCGTGTATAGCGTTATTGATTATTTCTTTGGGAATATTTAGGGAATACTGATTCGTCCTAAAATGGAATTTACATAGATACCATTTTTTTTTACTTTTATTCTAAAATTATTTTTAACTAGTATTTTTAAAAATAATTTAATTTATTATTTTTAAATTAAATTTTTTAAATTTTATTATTATTTTTAAAATAATAGAGATACATGGCGATCTTGCACAAAGCGACAGAAAAATTTAAATTGTTTTCAAGGAGATTTAAATATTTTAATACGACCTTGCCATTTGCGATTAATATTTTCTAAATTTTTTTTTCTGTTGCTAGCTAATATAACTAACGCGATGAAATATTTCCGCAAATGGAAATTAAAACAGTTGTCTATCGACCATTAATTTATTTTCAATGATAATGCTTTTTTCTGTCTCTTTTTTGATGAAGAGCGTTGTGTGTCAGTTAAATTGACACACCAAACATTTTGTGGCTTTTTTTCTTCATTCACCGAGATGACGTTAAAAATATTTCTGTACGGGGAAATGAAAGTAGCGACGAATGCTGACCTGTCGATCAATTTTTGCCGCACACGATTGCATCTCGTCGTGCGCATTTAACGTCGTATCGGGATCTAAAATGAACAGATCTAAAACGAGCAGATCTAAAACGAGCAAATATTTTTGCTGTTAAATGGCATTTCATTAAGCGCGACTTTGCTTACGAGTGTTCGCGATAGTTGCAAAGTCGCGAATAATTAATGAGCTGAGGGTGAGAAAATCAGATCGACGTCCATTTCTTATATCGCTCGTCATCTTTATTCAAGCAGGATTCCGGAACCTTTTACGTTGTCCGATCGCTTAATAGATCTTTCTCTTGCGTTTTAAAAGCCATCTCGCCCTTTTTCCCCGCATCCTTTCACTTCCGTCTAGTTAGTAATCGGAAGCACTTCGTCAAGTAGATTCACTGACCGCTTCAATTAACGTTAACCGATAGTCTTTCGTTCTGGTCTTTGCCCTGTATATAAATTCACCATAATTTGCGGCGCTTTAATGAATCTTCTCTCAATCACAACCATTAACGCTACTCGATTGGAATCCTTGAATAAAGTAGTTATCGGAATTCTCGCTTGGTCTTAAAAATATCGAGAGCAATAAAACTATTATATTATTATTATTAAGCGTGCGAATAAAAATTGCAACAATTCCAAGAATGATGAGTTTCAAGATTCGCGGTAACATATATTTACTGACGTCGATATACGGAAAATCCCGATCGTGTAGTCGCTTAAACATTATCGATATAACTGCGCGATTAAATCGGAACATCATTGGATTTTATGCAAAATCTTTCTGCAAACGGAAACGTGTCGCAACGTAAATGTAGCTTCCAGTGTTGGTCAAAATTGATGATTTTATAATTCAATGAATCTTTCATGGTTTGGAAAAATATCCGCGATATAATTATCCTTGAGATTTTTCAATCTTTGATCTCGAGAACTTTGATCCGTTTTTTGCGACAATTATCGTTCGTATCTATTATATCATTTATATACGGATAATTGCGAATTAATTACACATCAAAATTGCGTATCGCAGACGTTTACGCTATCTGTTTTCGATAGCATCTGATTCGCTTCCCTTAAACTGCGCTTTTACATGTTTTCCCTCCTTTGATCGCGGAACGTTTCACGGTTCTCGTGTCCACGATCCTTAAAGCTTTTCCGGTTACAACCTCGAATCTGGCGCGGACGATAGCGACAGCTGCTGTTGCCTTGAGGGCCTACAAGGAAACCTCATATACGGCCGTTATGGCGAAGTCAAGGACCCGTCGAGTCTTTCTCGTGGTTCGTAAACATGACCTTCTTCTTTTCCCCTTATTGCCTCCTCTCTCCTCCACTTTCACCTTCCGGTTTTTATTCGCGCTGTTCTCCTCCGGGATTGCTTTCGGCGAAATTTATTTCTAATCTACGATGGTCCAGCTAGGAAAAGGATGATCCCTTTTTGGGGAAGGATCGTGATATAAATATAAATTGAAAAAAAAAGAACGAATTGGCGCGCGTTTGGATTTCTAATCGATGATTAAGGGATCGTTTTTAGATGGCGCCTATTTGATACAATTTCGAAAATAATTCTGGATGTAGAATTTTACGGATGATGAGTCAATTATACTTGGCAAGGATTTTTCTTATAGAATACTCGCTCTCAAGATTAAGATTCTTTTTAAAGTGAGAGAATAATATTAGCTCTTACAAACTTGGAACGAAAAGAAATTGTTTTGTTGTAACATTAGCGAAAGCATCAATCGATAAAATGAAAATGTCCGCGATTGAAATTTCTTACAACCGGTCTACGTGATTGCAAGGTGAGATTAAAATTGACATTTGAATAAATTAATCAACTTTGTTACATCGCTTCTCGAACGTTGTTGCATACGCGATAAAAACGAGAAAAATTCAGCTTCTTCCGTCTTGTTAAACCTTAATTATATAACTTAATTATATAACAACGTTCTCTCATTACGCTCGCACGACACCGCCTCGGCTTTGGATCGTTAATACTATTTCTTTTGCGGGATGCGAATGAACCCTAGTCGCGCTCCGATTGGCTCTTTCGCGTATTCAACAGGTGTTTTCTCGACTTTTAATCTTTCCTAATGAGTATTTTACGAGAAACGCAGTTAAAGGCGATTCAATTCTCTCAAATATCGCGTTCGATTTTCTCATCGCATTTTCAATATATTTTTTTATTTATACATATTTATTAGGAAAGAATCTTTTTTTTAACATGACTCCGATAAATATATGTTTTTTAAAATATAGAAAAATTTATAATTTTTTATCTACATACTTTTACGTGCACGAAGATTGTATATCGCTCATTTATTCATCGTTATAAATTCGTCGAAGCAAATGAGAGGATCAAGCACGAATCGCGCATGTCAGTTTCTAAATACAGTTATTCCGAGGGGAGACATGTCGTCCGTTTCTTTGCTGAAACATGGCTGGGAAGCTCCCGATAGAAGTGCAACGCGCCGGTTCTATAACAACCATAACTGTAACTGCACGTTAGTAACTGTACGATGAGTCGCGAAGCCGCTTGGCGTCTTCGTCGTCCAGGCGGAACGTAAAAACGGGAAGCTCCGCGATAACTCACTCAGAAGGAGAAAGAGAGGAAAGGAAAGTGGATTGGAAAAGGAGAAGACAACGGGGATGGATGGAGAGGACGGGGGGAGAAAATGGCGCCGGTTTCTTACGGATTCGATCAGCTTTTACGACTTTGCTTCTCTTTCTCCCACACACATGCACGCACTCTTTCTCTCCCTTTTTACGATCTCCTCTTTGAAGCGCAGCCGCAAACGGATTCCGCGACTTTTCCGCGACGCGTCACGTAACGCGTTCTCGGAATACCGTATCGGGATAGCGCATTTTCAATATTAGGGAACGTGACATCCTCATGTGTCACGTAAGGGCGACGTGAAATATCGACTACAATCTGCGCGATTATTCGCGAAAATGCATTGCGTTGATGTATAGACCGAATCGATTAATGCGGAAACGCGGTATGGGAATTATTGGGCTCTCCGAGCGAATGATATATTTAAATAACGCAAAGACTGAAGAGAGACGTCTAGAGGCTAATATTACATTTGTCGTACGATAAATTTTTTTAAACATTAATTGGCTGCGAGATAGTAATTTTTTGAGTCTTTAAAAACTTTCTATTCTGCAGCCAATTAATATGTTTAAAAAATTTGTCGTATGACAAATATATATTAATTGGCTGCGGGATAATAATTTTTTGAGTCTTCAGAAACTTTCAATCAATATTAGGCTAAGGCTAATATTACATTTGTCGTACGACAAATTTTTTAAACATTAATTGACTGCAGAATAAAAAATGTCTCAAGACTCAAGAAATTACAATCCCGCAGCCAATCAATATGTTTAAAAAATTTGTCATACGACACATTTTTTAAGCATATTGATTGGCTGCGGGATAATAATTTTTGGAGTCTTCAGAAACTTTCAATCAATATGCTTAAAAAATTTGTACGACAAATGTAATAGTAGGCTAAGGCTAATATTACATTTGTCGTACGACAAATTTTTTAAACATTAATTGACTGCAGAATAAAAAATGTCTCAAGACTCAAGAAATTACAATCCCGCAGCCAATCAATATGCTTAAAAAATTTGTCACGTGATTGGCTGCGGGATAATAATTTTTAGAAACTTTCAATCAATATGCTTAAAAAATTTGTCGTACGACAAATGTAATATTAGACTAAGGCTAATATTATCATACGATAAATTTTTTAAACATATTAATTGGCTGCAGAATAGAAAGTTTCTAAAGACTCAAAAAATTATTATCCCGCAGCCAATTAGTATGCTTAAAAAATTTGTAATACGACAAATATAATATTAGGCTAAAGTTCGCACACGAGAGATTTGTATTGTCTGGAAAAATCTTTAGAAACGTTCAAGAAGAATCGTTGTTCGTGGATTCTTCTAATAAGCTTCTATAGTAATAAAATTAAATAAGCTGAAATTTTATAGTATAATGCATTATTGACGTTGAAATAAAATCTGGGAAGAAAAGATTCATTAATTTTCACGCTAAGAATGCTGCTTTCGATATATCATTGTTTTTTCTTCCTCTCAGTGTTTTTCTTTCCAACTTTGCGCGCATCTCTTCATTGAAATAGAACTTACATTTCACGGTGTTATGTTCTTACGTCCATTGGGGATTGTTATCCCGATTGTTCGTCGTGAAAATTCCCTCGAGTATGCGCGCGCGATAGTTTATCCGTGTTCCACCTCGCTGTTTAAAGTTCGCCCAAGTTAAAGCTCGCTAGTTGGGAGATTATTCGGTCGGATAAAACGATACGGATCGACTTAGGAGAGACGCTATTAGCCGTGTCCTAGCAAAGTCGA